TGCTGAGCTATCTGGCCCGCTCTTTTTATGGGCTTTTGTTGGGGGTGGAGTTTGAAGGGGATGTTTATAAATATCTGAGGAGCTGATTGGAGTCTTTTCTGTGGCAGCAGGAAAGGTGAAAGGAAATTGCACCCTGGACTGGGTTGGAGAGGAAGGGGGGGAGGTGGTCTCCCGGAAGATAAGCTATTGTTTTAAGGGCTTCAGCCACATTAGATGAGCACCAGAATGATACAGCAAGTCATACCAGGGCCAGAACCTATCAGTGCATACCTGCAATCCCAGAACTTGGGAGGCTAAGGTAGGAGGATCATTGCAAGTTTGAGACCAGCCTAGACTACAAAGTCAGCCTGTGGGCTGGCGAGATAGCTCAGTGGTTTAAAGCACCTGCTTGGGCAAGCTTAGGCAGGCACAGAGGACCATGGTTCAATCCCTGGTACCATATGCCACGCCAGGCCCACCATCAGAACAGGCTGAGCTGGCCAAAAAAAAAAGGCCAGCCTGAACTGCATAGCAAGATCCTGTCTCAAAAGCACTCTCCCCTGCAAAAAAAAAAAAAAAAGGTTGGGCCAGCGAGATAGCTCAGTGGACTACGCACCCTCTTAGGCAAGCCCAGGGTCCTGATCAGCACCCCATGCCACCAGCTCCACCCCCAGGCACACTGAGCTGGTCACCAAGACCCATGGTGGTGCATCCCGTAATCCCAGTGCTGGGGAGGCTGAAAAAAAACAAGAGATCACTACAAGTCCAAGCTGCATAGTAAGACTCTATAACAAATACATTTTTTAAAAAAAAGTCTCAATTTTATAGCAAAAAGGGATTTCAAAGTATCCCAACCAAAGGCCCAGATTTCTCAACAAAAGGTGACATCTGGGATATATTGTAACTCCAGGGCAAAGACAACTGTCCTGAAGGAGAGCAGAGGCCTCCCAGAATCCAAACAACAACTGAGGGCTTTCTTGGGAGGAGCACACTTCTGTCACACAAGGGTATCCCAGTTGGGAGTAAGAGGCAAACCACCTACACGAGAGAACCTGAGGACTGAAACTGAATCCTTAAAACTGAACCCTTGAGCAGCTTCTCAAGAAGCTTTGAGGGGGCCTGCCCGTTAGCCCAGGCATTTAAGTGCCTGCTGAAACAAAGCAGTCAGGCTCTGGATGCTGTGGTTGGATCCCCTCATGCTCAAGCCAAACCAGGCCTGCCCTGAAGGCATCCTGGGGGGCGTGCAAAAAAAGAAGCTTTTAAGGCCCTAAGACAGACCTTGATCCAGACCTAACTAAGCCTTCTCTCTTTGTGGCTGACCGACAGAGAGTAGGCACAAGAGCACTAACTCAGTGTCTAAGACAAGAAAACTGCCCAGCCAGGAGAGTAGCTCAGGGGCACAATGCCTGCTTGGCAAGCACAAGGCCCTGAGTTCAATTTCCAGTAGCAAAAAAAAAAAAGGAAACTGACCAGTTGCCTAGGTTTCCAAATGACTAGGTCTAGTGAGGCACAGCTGAGGTAGTTGCCTAGTCACTATGGCACTTTGAGTTCAGGAAGCTCTTAAGATAACTTTAGGGCAAAAGCTCTTAGTTCTTTTTTTTTTTTTTTTTTCAGTACTGGGGATTGAACTCAGTCCCTTGCGCTTCTCAGGCAAGTGCTTATTCTACTGAGCTATCACCCCAGAACCTTGAGTTCATTCCTACTACAAAATAAATAAATAATAGCCACTGTTAGTTTCCTATTATCTTGTTTTGAAATTCTGTACCATTTATGTCGGGTTTTTCTCTTTAAAATAAAAAATAGCATAAGATTCTATGCTCATTTGAGCAACTTTGCTGGTTTTTTTTTTTTTTTTGTGGAGTGGGGGATTGAACTCAGGCCCTTGCACTTGCCAGGGAAATGCTTATTCTACTGAGCCATCTCCCTAACTCCAAACTCTTAGTTCTCATTGGACATCAAGTTAAGGCTCTGTTCAAATGCAAGGGACATTTGAGGATGACTAGCGGAAGGCTCATTAAATATCATACCATTCTTATTAAAACCCAAATGTTTCCCTTCAGTCTTGCACTGTTCTAAACCCAGCCACCCTCTTCCCAATCAACCAGCAGATAAAACATGAGTGTGAACAGACCATCATCCAAAATTATGCCAGCCACTCTGATCTGAGGGACTGTTAACAGGGATAATTTGGTTTTATTTTGGTTTTGGTTTGGTTTTGTATTTTAGGCAAGGGTCTACAGGTTGTTCAGGGTCTCACTACTAGATCAGACTCGCAGTGATCCACCTGTTTATAGCCTCCCAAGACTTGGATTACAGGCACAGGCCACCACACCTAGTCTCAATTGCCTACTCAGAGTGCCCCAGGGGTGGGGCCAGCACAGCAGGCTCAGGGATCTAACCCCTGGCCCCTGCACCTGCTTGCGGGTGCTTGTTTTGTTTTGTTTTTGATGAAGGGTCTTGCTATGCAGTTCACACTCTAATGATTCTTCTGTCTCAGCCTCCCCAATGCTGGGATTACAGGCATGCGCCACCATGCTTGGTTACAAAGTCAGCATGGAACACCTGGGGTTCCAGGCCCAGTGAGGCATGTGGTACTGGGGATCTAACTCAGGACCTTGTGCTTACCAGAAAGACACTTGGACCGCCAAGCTGTTTCCCTAGTCCAAGGATGGTTGACACATGGTTCCCCAGTGGCAGCAATTTCATGAAGCATGGTGTTAGGAGGGCAGGCTATGATACAGTCAGGTCACTGAGGTGAGAAAACTTCCCTCAAAGACTTCTTTCCAAAAGGTAGAACTTGTTGCCCTCATCAACTTGCCCAGGACAAGAAGATCAAAATATATGCTGACTCCAAATATCTCTTTCTGGTTTTACATGCACATGTATTCATCTGAAAAAAAAGAAGAGGACTTTTGATGAGTCACTAGTCTCCAAAAGAACCTCAACCAGAGATCCTCAATCTCCTCTAGTTAGTAAATCTCCCAAGTAAGGTACCAGTTATCCATTGGAAGGGATATCAAGCCTCCTAGGACCCTGTCTCTCTAGGAAATCCTAACAGAGATTCTCCTGCCAAACAGGCTGCTCTCCAATATAATCTGCCCATCAACATCCCTATCCATGATCCTTCTTCAAAATCCTGACTTAGGGGCTGGTGAGATGGCTCAGTGGTCTAAAGCGCCTACTTAGAACAAGCTTAGCAAAGCACAGGGACCACGGTTCAATCTCCCAGCACCACATGCCAGCCAGCCCCGCCCCTGGTGGACTGAGCTGGCCACACACACACACACACACACATAAATAAATAAATAAAATTTAAAAAAAAAATCCTGACTTAGTATCAAAGATTATTTACAGAAGAGCTTCAGATGATTTATAATGAGGGAGGAACTGAAAAGGGCCAGTGGTGGTGTGTGGGACCCAACTGCTCTGCCACAGCGAGTGCAGTGGAAAGTCATTCAGTCCCTGCATGATGCCCGCCACCTAGGGCAAGGTACTGCCTCTGCTGTGGCACATAGGTTCTTAATGGGGCCCGGAGCCCATCATGCTATAACTCAGGTCTGTGAGAACTGGCCTGACTGCCTTCCATAACTCACAAACTCATCTTCCCTCTTTGCCTGAACCACCACAAAGGCATGAAGAAGTCTTCCCTGGAGGAGACTGGCAAATAGACTTCACCCACATGCCTGTCTGTAAGGGGTACAGGCACCATGTGCTATGCATTGATACCTTTACTGGGTAAATAGAGGGCTTCCCTAACAGGTCAGAACAAGCTCCGAAAGTGGCAAAAGTTTTCTGTAAAATAATAAGCTCTGGAGCCAGGCACATACCTGTAATCCCAGCACTCAGGAGGCTGAGGCAGAAGGATCCTTTTGAGTTTGAGACCAGCCTGGACTACAAAGTGAGCCCAAGGCCAGCCTGAATTGCACAGCGAGACCCTGTCTCAAAAAGACAAAAAACAAACAAAAACAACAACAACAAAAAAAACAACAACCCTCAAAAACCAAAAAAACAACAGGAATCCCTAGTTTGGAGTGCCTAGAGTGATAAGGGGCCCTCTTTCACATTGCAAATTACAAGGGAGTCACCAAAGCCCTGAAAATTAAACATTATCTCAATACTGTGTGGAGCTCTCCTCACAACAGGAAAGTTTGAGGGAGCCAAACTCACTAGATAATGTTTAGCTGATCTGTGTCAAGAGACCTACTGTAAGTGGATAATCGCCTCCAGTTGCCCTAAGGAAGCTTCAGATAGCCCCAAATCCAAACTTAATCTCAGCCCAGTTGAGATGCTTTCTGAGAGGCCCTTCACTACATGTGATCTCATCTATGGCCCTGAAACCTCCCAACTCCTTCAACATGTGACCCATCTAGGAACTTTCCAACTGCCCTCCGGGAATGTAGAAGTAAGGTCCTTCCATTCCGAGGGACTAGCAATAATTGTCAACCCAAAGTCTACTCTGGTTACCAGGAAAGAGGATGGACCCCAGGACTAACCCACATCCAGATGAAAAGGCCCTTACACAACTCTATTAATCACTCCTTCTACCATTTAGGTACAGGAAATAGATAGTTTGATTCACTTCTCCGGGGTAAAGCCCAAGCCACCAGAGACACCAAAAGACAAAAAAGGGGGTCTACAAACGTCCTCTACCTGTGAACCAGGAGACAGCCACTATGAGAGCTCGCCGTGGGATCCTGGCACCCTTCAGGACCTAAGGACGCCCTTCTTCCTCCTCCTGGAGTCTGGCAATCTCTGACCTTTGCTTGTCCACAGTTTATGTCACTTTGGACCCTAGAAGCTATAGAAAGGTCAGGACTCAGCTCAGGAGTGCCGCTTGCTGTCAGCAAGGAGCAGGGGCCTGCAGTTCCCAGCACCTTGCTGCCCTTTGGCCCCCACCCTAGGCGGGATCCTTGGCCCTCCTCCAGCTCCCTCCTTCCGGCTCACCTCTCCCTCCTCACTGCCCTCATCACTCCTGCCCTGAACGCAGGTTTCCCCAGCTCACCGTCCAGGCTGGTCTTTCCATGCTGTCACCAAGGCCTCGTTCCTGCACATCTCCCAACCCGGACAGGGAGAACCCAAGCAAAAAGGTCCAGTGGGCTTCAGAGGGGAGGAGGAGGAGGACATCATCCACAGACTCGGAGTCCAAGTCCCACACGGACCCTTGCAGGCTGGCCAGGTCCCGGAGACCCAGCCGGCTGACAGTGAAGTACGACTGGGGGCAGCTGCAGCGCTGGCTGGAGATGGAGCAATGGGTGGATGCGCAGGTTCAAGAACTCTTCCAGGTAAGCAGTGTGGAGCTGGGACTCTGGGGCTAGGCTAGGAGTTGGAGATTGTGCCCAAAGAGCTCCAGGGGAGCTACGGGGCTGGTATGAGATGGGCCTATAAAGGGAAGGCTTTGGGGCAAGTGGAAGTGAAAGGCCTTGTTTATGCCTCTATCTTTGTGATCTAGGGAAGACCTTTTAACATGTTGAGACTCAGTTTCTTTATCTATAAAATGAGATTTTGTTGCCTTTTGTAGCTTTGGATAGATGAGGAGGACAATTATTATTATTATTATCATTATTATTATTTTGGTCTGGGATCTTCATATTGAGTTATGTTCCCAGCCCTTTTTTGTTTTGAGACAGTGTCTTACTGAGTTTCCCAATCTAGGTTTACACTTGGAATCCTCCTGCCTCAGCCTCCCCAGGGTTCTAGAATTACAGGTGCATACCACCATGCTTGGCTTGATAAGATTTTTTTGAGGCTCAAATGACATAATCAAAGGGAACATGCTTGGCCGAGCTGTTTTGCCATACTTTATGTCTTAATTTATTTTTATCTTCAACACACAGACATATCTAGAAATACATTGTCCAACACTGTAACTATTAGCTGTGTAGAGCTATAAACTTCTAAATTTAAAAAAAAAAATAGGTTTTTTGAAACAAGGTCTTGCTATGTAGTTCAGACTGGACTTGAACTCACTATGTTGCCCAGGCTGGCCTCAAACTATGAATGATCCTTCTGGGATAACTGATATGTACCATTGTATCCAGCAGAAAAGAATGTCAATGTCTAAAAAAGTCTGCTCAGAGACATCTAACAAGTTACCATAAAAAGCATTTCCTGACACATGGAAATATAACATTATTCTTTTTTTTGAAGGCAGGGTTTCACTATGTAGTCCAGGCTGGCCTTGAACTCACTATGCATCCCATGTTGGCCATGAAACTGCCTTAATCTCCTGCCTCAGCCTCCCCAGTGCTGGAATTACAGGTATGCACCATCATGCCTGACTCACGTTATTCTTTTTAGGTTATTCTTTTTTTTTTTTTTTTTTTTGCAGAACAGGGGATTGAACTCAGACCCTCGTGCTTGCCAAGCAAGCACTTATTCTACTGAGCCATCTCCCCAGCCTCACACTTTTCTTTATGAACTCTTACAGTTCAAGACTTTCCACTCAGTAAAATAGCTAAGCATCTGAGACTGAGAAAATATATTTGAATATAGACACCACGTGAGACTTAATACTTTCTTCCTTCCTTTTTCCTTTTGTTTTTTCTTTATTACCGAACTAGCAACCAACTTGCCCACTTAGTCTGCTGTTCAGATGTGAGGAAGACACTTCACTGTACAGGGACCTGTAATGGATTCAATCCTATGTGTGCAGATGTCTAACACAGGCAGACAGTTTTCTCTCAATTTTAAGGTAGTTTATTTTTTCTATTAGCAAAAACAGCTAACATCCTGGCTCAGTTTCTATTTCAGACCATTCATTATGCATCTGCACGGAGCATACTTCAGGCCCTTCAGGGCACATCCCTCCAGGCAGCAGAGAAAGACCATAGTCAACAAGCCTTGATTTGCAAGATGAAGGTAGAGGAGCAGGAAGTTGTATAGTAATGAGCCCATAACACAGGAAAACAGAACACGTGGGTGGACCACTCCCAGGCAATAACTGGAATAAAAAGCCTGGCCTGTGGTTGTCATGGCAATTGTCCAAAGGTGCCAGGTGACAGTTCCTTTCCCAATCCCCGGCCTTTTCAGCAGGAAATAGCTAAGTGCATGGGAAAGCCCCAGGTAACTGGACATATTGGGCAAAGGTAAAGGCAGCACGGTGCCCAACCTTACATTTACCCTGATCTGGTTCTGCCTGTACGGAGCCCCACATCATCCACCAGGGATCTGTCCCCACACTCACCTTGGGTGGCATCGCCGGCAATGGTTATAGAAATCTTCAAAGTAATCCCATCGAGGCCCTAGATCTTCAGTGGTCCAGACAGAGTGTGGATTTGGCTTCTAGGCCAGGACTCAAGCACGCATACATTTCTCCTAAGTGCAAGAGACCCTGGTTCAGCAGCGTGCTCCATCTAGTTACCACCTCGTAGCTCTTATCTCATCACAGCCAGACACCTTAAAAGATTTTCGACACTCATGGCTTTTGCTCACTGTTTTCTTCCTTTTTTTTTTTTTTTTTTTTGGTGGATCTGGGGATTGAACTCAGGCCCTTGTGCTTGCCAGGGAAGCGCAGTTTTCTTCCTGTTACCACCCAATCCCCTGAAATTTGGGTTCTGCTCCTACACACTATTGAGAGCTCTGGGAAAGGCCACCACTCACTGCCTTGGTACTGAAATAAGGCACAGATCAGCAGGGGACACTGGAGGGTACCTTATGGCTAGTACTTTGAAACATCCTTTTACTGTAGCTCCCATGACAACAGTCTTTTCCTGGTGGAGTCGCATTTTGACACAGCCTTTTTGATATTTAACCAATCTATTATACTTCACACACACACACACACACACACACACACGAAATATTATACTTCCAACCTTAAAAAAATTATTATCAATAAGCCAGGCATGGTGGCACACACCTGTAACCCAGCATTTGAGAGGCCGAGGCAGGAGGATCACCATGAGTTTGAGGCTACTGTCAGTTATATAGCAAGTTCAAGGGCAGCCTGGACTATGTAACAAGACCCTATTTTCAATAAATAAATAAATAAATAAATAAATAAATAAATAAATAATATCAATGCATGAGTAAAACATGTATTTGCTAGTTCATCTGAACCTTACACCTCATTGCTGGTTTCCATGGAGGTGAGATTAGGAGTAAAGGACTTCGGTGTGGAGTGTAAATCAGAAAGGGGACAAATCAGGCAGCACCTAGCAGGAAACACCAAGTATAACATGGAGTCACAAGCTCCTCCTACTTGTTCATCTCAGAAGTCATTGTTTTATATTCTGAGCACTGAGCTGCATCTCTAGCCTCCATTAAAAAATATTTAGAATTTTTTTTGGAAATGATCATGATAAGTCTCCGAGTTGCCCCGGCTGGCCTCAAACTTTTTATCCTCCTGCCTCAGCCTCCCAGAGTTCTGCGATTACTGGTGGGCACCACCATGCGTGGCTAGGACTCATCCTGTCTTAGAGGCAAGGGCTAATCATCAGAGCTCTTTCTTCCTTTTGAGATTCCAGTACACCTATGTTTGATCACTTGACAACTGTTGCACAGATCATCGGGGTTCATTTCCATTCTGTTCTCCAGCCTACCTGCTTCCTGCCTTGTTTCTCCCTCTTTTTTTATCTGCAGTGCTAAATAAGCTTCTTCCACCCAGTAGAATTTTCATTTAAAATATATTTTTCATATCCAGATGTATCATTTGGGTCTTATGTTTTCCGTTTTTCTTGTTATCGTGCTCATAGTTTTCTTTCTTTCTTTGGCAGAACCAGGGATTGAACTCAGGCCCTTGCACTTGCCAGGGAAGTACTTATTCCACTGAACCATCTCCCCGGCCCCTGTGCTCATAGTTTCTTATCTGCTAATTCCATCATTTCTATCATCTCTGGATGATCTGCTTTTGTTGACTGATCTTTCAGCTGATTAAGGGTCTCCTGCTTTTTTTTTTTTAAATATATTTTTTATTTTTATTTTTATTTTTTGACATCAGTTATTTTTATTTTAAAGAAAGAAAAAAAAATAAAAACAGTGGTACAAAATCTCAAAACAAGATTTTAGGAGAGTAACAATGGTTAGTACATTGTGTGTTGTTATTGCCAAAGTAGTTTCT